GGGGGGTTCAACGTCCTTTTTAAAAATTCCGTTTTGCCCATTTCGTATTTTTCAAAACATATTGAATTCGCCCATCGTTATGTGTTCCAATGCAGTAGCGTCTCTTTTCACATTTATTTCGTGAACAACTACGTTTTTACGAATTTCTTAAAAAGTTGCGATTAAAAAATCGCGAATTTCAATTGTGCACTCCAAAATCAAATGTTGGTACTCACTCACTCTTGTCGAGCAGCAACAACAAAATCAACAACAACAACAACAACATTAACAGCAACAACAGCAACAAAATAAGACACTTTTGAAACCTATACTGCCTGCCCCATCTCCCCTCATTTAGAACCCATACATTCCAACTGATCATAGTCTTGGCGATCCGTAATCTCCTCGTCATTCTCAGTGACTTCAACTCACACTCTCAACTCACATACAAATGGAAGACTTGGTGAACTGGAACTCGACAGCAACATCGTTGTCGTGAACCACAGATCGCACATGCACGTTGGCACCAAATATCAACATGACAATTCATCTTCAATTTCTCGACCCACCTGGGGTGGTAAAAGTGCTCTAGACACTAACTATTTACACGGGTCGTTCAAAATGTTTGGCCTCCAAGCTCATAATTTCTTTATTACTGATGCTACATACAAAAATTATACACCAAATGAAAGCTTAGGATGTATCTGCTACATGAGAGTACCTTTACTTTTCAACATAGTCGCCTTCATTGTCGATGCAGATCCGCCAACGTCGAATAAGTTGTCGCATGCCGTCGGCGAAAAATTCCAGTGGTTTTCCTATGAACCTGAGACGCACATCTTCTTGAACTTCGTTGTCTTCTGCATAACGTTTTCTTTTGAGGTACTCCTTCAACTCAGGAAAAAGATAAAAGTCAGATGGAGCAAGGTCTGGACTGTATGATGGGTGCGGTAAGGTCTCTTGAAATCTGAGACTTTTCATGGCATATTGAGTTTGTCGACTCGTGTGTGGACGGGCGTTGTCGTGGAGCAAAATTGCATTTTTTCCGGGCCAAACTCGTTACAGCCGTGCCTTGCGTTTTCTCAGGGTCTCAATATATCGTTCAGAGTTGATAGTGGAACCCTGTTCTAAAGATTCCATATGAATCAGACCATCGCAGTCCCAAAACACTGTCATAAGAACTTTCTTTGCAAATGAAACAACTTTGAACTTCTTTGAGCTAGGTGAGCCAGTGTGCCTGTATTCTTTCGATTGTCTTTTGTTCTCTGGGTCCTAATGGTGTACCCAAATCTCGTCTCCTGTGACTATCGGCGTCAGAAAGCCTCACCTTCATCGATATAACGAGCCAGGGGTTCATCACTAACTTGACTTCGGTTCAATTTCAGTGACAACATGTGGGGAACCCACCGTGCTCACACTTTCCTGTAACCCAACACATCATGGATAATATACAGAGATCCCTACAGAAATCCCTAACAATTCACTGACATCTCTTACTTTGATCTGCCGGTTAGCTTGGATGATCTCATCCACTCTCTCCTGGTGTTGAACATCACTGGCAGAGTTGGGACGTCCACAACGAGTTTGGTCTTGCAAATCTGTCTTTGCTGGACTGATTTCAGCGAACTCCTTTGCCCATCTTTGAACAGTACTTACATCTACTCATGCTTCACCATAGACAAGCTTCATACGCCTATGAATATTAAGGGTGCAGCTCCCCCTGCAGTAAGGAACTCAATAACAGCTCTTTGCCTTAAGCGCACATTCATAGGTTAGCTAGACGCCATTTTCTCGGCGACATTGCACCCTAGCTTTCATGATGTAAACAGCAATAGCATAAAGGTGTGACATCATAGCATAATTCTATTTTTTGGGTTTGAGAGTAAACATATTGAAAGTCAATTGTGTACAAATTTCATGAAGATATCTTGAATAGTTTAGAAGTTATTGGAGAGGACGCTAAACTTTTTGAACGACCCTTGTAATTTTATAGATCGATCTGGAGAGGGTAAACTTAATAGTACACTGGGGGCCGAATTGGACGCTCTGACCTTGACCCGATATCCATTAAACTTGACAGCGAGATAAACAACGACTCTGTCTTCAATTGTCAAGTCTCATAGTAGTAAGCCGGGGTAGACTGGACAACATTCTCTTATAGGAAGTGGAAACGGCCATTGACATGTGGATGACGACGGTTTGACACTATTCACAACAAAATGGTACCGTTCAACGTCCCTCTGATATTTTAATTATTATACCACCAACACTCTCGTTTGAATAGTAAAGCCAAGTAAGAGAACAAAATCCTAGGGAACACCCAAAGTGAGAAAAGCTATCTGCTAGAGGAGCAAACTCCCCTGAGACATGTAGCACAGTAATAGTAGTAGTAGGCTATCAGCACGATCAAAACCGATGCGAGGCGAAACTTGTTGGGAAATACTGACAGCTCGCCTGATGACTCTATGCTTGACTAAGGTATGGGGACTACTATATAAAAGGACCCCAACGGAAAAACCGAGACAAATTCACCAAATAAACTGATGAAAGACAAAAGACTCCCAGTCACCCATGACAAGCAGAAAGCTGACATATTTGTAAAACGGTGCTCGAACGAGAGCAGTCTGGGTATTGCACAAGAGGATAGAGGTGTGAATAAATCACTGAAATAATGGCTTAGGGACAAAATTTTCCACAAAAGGCGCAGCCTGACTTCAAAATCACAGAGATGAAGTTTGATTTCTCCAAATTTTAATGAAAACCCGCGGGTGCCGGATCCTGACTACAAAAATTCCTTACTGAACCATCGAGGTCCGAAAGCACTGGAGTCATGTTTCCTGAAGGACGCTTTGACCGTGGCAGGCTCAGGGTGGTGGATAGGCGCGACGAATGAATTACTGATTAGGTCACTATCTAAACTCTGTCGGGCATCCTCCGCCATCACAATCCCCACCACCACCACCACCACCACCACCACCACCACCACCATGATTATTATCACCGCCGAGAACAACAACAACAACAACAATACAAATACCAGCGTCTTTTCAGGGCAGTGTGGAATTCAGACTCCGGATTGGGTACTTCTCGTCGCAGTGTCACGTCATCAGTGAAAGCCTTCCAGTCGACGCTGAACGATTTCCGGGTGACCTGACACTTGAGTACTAAGTCGTGGCTGACCTCAGTGTTAAGGGTCACGGAAATCGGTCAGAGCTGCCTATGCCGTCTCAGGGGCATCATGTCTGCTTTCCGCTCCATGCTGACTCACATATAAAGATAACGGGGGCACTTTTCCTACTGTGGGTGGTGGAGTAGGAGGAGTATGACGGGGATTGGAATGATTGTCATGCATCGACTTGGTGTTGATACATTAGTGTGTTCCGTCGTTCATGATCGCCATGTTCAGTGTCCAGTTCAGCAGACTCTCCCGTCTTGCATCCAGTGGTTGAAAGGGATTCCACAGGATACAGTGGACATTAGAGTCACCCCGTATGATGGACTAGGGTGTGGTTGGCAGGTCGTCGGTTGCCAAACACGCAGACTGTTGAGACTTGTGAGATCTGGCGGGAGGGAAGTAGATGTGGCATACTGTGGCCCATTTCCTCCTCCCAAACTTCACTCTAAACATCAATATTTCAGTTCTGCTGATGGACGCGTCTCGGACATGTTAAAAAACTTGGGTATTCTTGATATTATAGATGAGGCCTCCGCCTCTGTCCTGGTTTCGCCTGTCCAGCCTGATCGCTGGGGTCCTCATCACAACAGGGGACCCGTCCAACCCGATCTTTATCAAGACACTGAAGGAGAAAGAGGCTCTATTTACGCGCTCTTTCGAGGAAGTGATGGTAGCCTTGGAAATGGTCATTGACTGGATCGACCAATAGTGTGATGCATCCAACTTGGTCGTTATCCTCAGTGACAGTCAATCGATATTTATGGCCCGCGTGGGAATATCGCCATCCAGGATCAAATGCGAATACGATAAATAATACAATACTTCATTTCACGACCCAGTGCATCCTTGTTCACAGCGAAATCCACGGCAACGACCTTGCTGACAGTACTGCCAAACAGGCAACAACACTGCCAGCCCAGGCCGCCAAATTGCATACTATGGAAGTGCGTGCGTCCAGATAAAACTGATTAACAAAGCCCTCCGATATCACACACGCTGACGAAGGAAATATATGGGGCAATGTCCTAAAATGGGGAGTCACAAATTATGTCTAGCGGTGACCAATCATCACTGGCAAAAATCAGGACTGGTCTCTTCTCTGGGCTGGGGCTTACAAAAATAGAATAGACGACACATCGCAAGCAAGATGTCCTTTGTGCAGCGAGGAGCCCCAAGATTTGGAGCACGGGCTGTAGCGAGGCCCCGCTACGAAGGTCGAGCGGTGACATCTCTTTAGGGAGGATTCAGGGAGTTTGGACTTCCTCGCCCGCTACCCATGAGAGGCGGTGGCCCTGGCGAAGAGCACATTCTTAAGGGCTCCAAACAATTCGGAAGGATAGGACCCACAAACATATACACAAGCACAACAAAACAAAAAGACAACAACAACGACGACGACGACAATACAACGTTAGACACAACAATACATAGGGCAAGGAGGCAAAAAAAAAGGAAAGTGATGGGAACTGAGGGTAGTCCCTTGACTCTTTGAAACGGTGACATGATATTTCGAAGATTTCAATTACTGTCCTTTGGTGGCATCTTGTCTGAAGTTCAGATCGTCAAATCACGTGTTTTTTTGTTTTTGTTTAAAACCTTCAACTTATGGGTTTACGAATAGCATCGCAGTTTTCCGACCTACATTCAGAAATTTCCCAGTTGTCAGTAGGATTCGGGAGCTTCAACCAAAGGACATAAGTTTTTAACCCCAATTTACAGAAACTGATTGGAAAATATGGTCTGATTGAGAGCCATGAGTCATTTTTAGCGACATGAGTTGTACAGGGTGTAGTCGTCCTAATACGTTCCTTTTTAAAAAGTCAATCAGATTGAAACAAAACTTTACTTTCTGAAACAAGAAAACTGTGTCCCTCCTTTAAAGGTTCTTAATTATAATGTTCAATCATGTTTTCTATTGAAATTGTAAACTTACATTGATTGAAACATAAAAATGGATTAGACATAAAATTAAACGTTTTCTCTTAGACAAAAAAATTGCAGAAAATTATCTTGCCAATACCTAAATCCTTTACAAAGGTATAGATAGTACTGTCTAAAAAAGTAAATGAATGTTTTTACTATTTTTAGTTTTTACTATGAACTTTAACTTTAACCATAAAGTAAAACCTAGCCGTGCTGTGAATGAACAAGAAAATAAGCAACTTTTGTGACGGTTGTGTCCCACACGTAATTATGAACTTAATAGTTGCAGCCGTCGCAAAATTCTTTCTAAAACTAAAACATCTTTTATCCCGAATTCACCCCCTCCCCCCTCACCCCAAAAACGTTTTTTTGTGCCTAACCTCATCTCTTTCTTACCTTTCTCTCAATGCAGGTGGAGCATGCTTTTGACCAAGTTCGTCGGGGAAAATGGAGAGACACAATGACGTACGCCGGTCTTAACTACGCCCGATTTAGAATGACAAGCTTCGGTCGGCGAGGTAACGGAGTCTTTTTTCGCCCGTCATGACTGATGATGATGATGATGATGATGATGATGATGATGATGATGATGATGATGATGATGATGATGATGATGATAAAACTCATAGTCATTTTCATCATTTATTGTCCATCGCAATATCAAAGTAGTCATCCAGGTGGCTCTTGCGCCAAGAGGTTAAGGTGTTCGCCTCTCATTCAGAGGTCCCGGGTTCGAATCCGGGTTGCGACGGAAACACTTCATTCTCTAAAATTGTCTCCTTTCACATCCTTTCCTGCTCTCTAGCAATAGTCTGTCTTCTGCTTTCGTCTCCACTTTCTGCCCCCACCCCCTCACCTTCTTTGCCCCCTCCTCTGGGCTCCTGACTCTTTCTGCAGCCTTTCCACTGCTTGTCCTGGGCTCCTTCTTACTGCTATCTTTGAGCCACATCCCTGATCTTCTGATAGGAAAGATGTACACCTTGCCTTCTCGGACACGGGCGTAAAAACTCTGAGGTCCCGTGTACAAGTTGTGCACGTTAAAGATCCCTTGGTGGTAAAAAATCGATAAGAGTAGGTTTCGGCCGCCACCTGGGCAAAATTCAAAATTTCCTTCCAACTGAAAATGGTAGGTGTGTCCTGTGAGCTCATATGATCGTATGCAGTTCCGAGAACCGTAAAACACTTTTTTTTAAAAGTAGTCATCCTCTTCCGTTGGATTTTTCAAAATTGACGTTTATGACAACTTCCAACTATTGACAGTATTTTACCCCCCAGGAATAATGCTGACTATGAACACTGACTATAAGCAGTGGCCCCATTCTCTGTTCCAGAAGTCCCTCGTATTCTGATCACCATCACAGACGGAGTGTCCAACAACCGGACGGAGACTGCCAGAGTCGCAAACATGACTCGACAAGCAGGGATTGAAATCTTTGTTATTGGAGTCGGCAGGTGAAACAATATGAAACGTTTTAGAAAGAAATATTATGCTGTTTATGAAAAGGAAATGTTTACTGATTGTAAATGTGCGTGCCCTATTCGATGTAATTTCGATAATTTTGGAGGTGGACTGCTATGACAATGCCTGTTGAGATGCTGCTTCCCAAATAGCTTTCACTTGCATGTAGCTGTATACGTTCTGACCAGTGTTATATCTACCTCTTGGTCAAGTCCCCTCTGTTGATAATTAATTGAACCCAAGTGTGGGAATTGGACTTCGAGCTTCCAGTTCTTGTTTTCAAAAAGTGCCTATTTTCTAGCTTCTCTGCAGGAAAAAATTCATATATTTCCTTACTAATTCCTAGAGGAAGTTCTTAACATTGGGCTTAAAGACACAAAATAAGGAATATAGATCGCTGTCTATTCCCCCCTCCACCTCTATTTTATTGTCACCTTCTAGCTCTTGAACAGAGCCTCTGGCACTTCTAAAGATAGTGAAGTAATGAATGAGTGAAATAAGGAATGAACATTTAACCGATCAACCCAAAGAAATACATATCAATATGGAAATATATTCAGTTAGGGATACTTAAATAATAAAGTATGAAAAGATGCAAATTTCGTCTTCTTTCTTTCCTGCCCACCCCCACGCCCCCATTGAAGTTGCGTACAGTGTTTATGTTGTTTGCACACCCCCCCAATCCCACTCACTCTCCTCCTTCCCATACCCCTCCAACCCCCACCCCGTCCTAACGAGCAGCCTGGACAAAGTCCAGCTTAAAGAAATCGCCAGTGAGCCGTTCAGCGATCACCTGTTTACGGTCACAGGGTTCCCGCAACTCTCCTCTATCTCCGGTCTGGTGAGACAAAAGACTTGTCTTGGTAAGGAGAAAATGGATGACCAGAAATATTATAGTTGTTCTGAGTTCTATAGCGCTGAAAGAACAACTTGAGAGACTCTAGCTTCCCTTTAGTTTGCAACGATTTAGACTGACAAAAACTTGCTTATTCAATAATTGCGTCCAAGCTATTCAAAATTGTCACTGAAAAACACACGTACAGTTAAAGCGTTTCAAAATGGGGAACATAATTTTTTCTTGGAATTTAGACATAAGGTAGAGAAACTTCATTTTGGGAAAAGTGCCAAGTTGTAAACAGGGCATTTCAGATAGATAAAACCATTTCTTCTATAGGTAGTATGTGTCAGATTCCTAGGCGTCAGTTGGCTGATCCTGGGTAGGGTTTCATTGTAAATAAATGCTCATTTCATAAATCTATGAGAATATTTCTCACAACATCGCTCTTGATGTAATATATAAATAAATATATATATATATATATATATATATATATATATATATATATATATATATATATATATATATATATATATATATTATATAATATATTTATATATTTAATATATAATATATAAAATATGAAATGTGTTATGAGAATCTACTTTGCCTCACCAAATTTGCTTTCTCCTGCAATATTTGGAGATGAAATTTTGTTTGTTTTTACATTACATCAAATAATCATGTATCACCTCTGAAGCAGTTTCTTTTTATAGCCCTTAGTCTCTTGACGACGATTTTTCCTCTGACACTTTCTCCCTTTCTATGACATCATTACTGCCGTTTCCAAGCCTCCTAATAAAGAAATGCAAACTCATAATGCGTTCAAGTATAAAGAACTGTTTCAATAAAGGTGGTTTTTTCTGCGCATAACTTGAAATCTGACTATATCTGATTTTGTGACCATAAGCTATATATTCATTTTTGGTGTGGTAGGCAAATGCTTGCATGACTAATCCTGGACCTCCTTTTGTAGAAAAATTCCAATTAAAAGAACCCAAAAGAAAGATGCCACAAAAGAAAAGAAAGGTAAATTTAAAGATGAAAAACAGCTTTATTGATATCCAAGAAACATTTCAGAAAGAAAAGTTGATTTTTCTTCTTTGTTCCCAAACATATTCTTATTTTGACCTTGTAACAGGGTCTCTGAGACATGCAATAATAATAATATATCTCCACCTCTCCTCCCCTCCCCTCCCTTGCCGTCCCCTCCCCCTCCCCAACCCCGATTTAGATACCGATCCCACCGATAAACCCAGTGACCAGGCAGCAGCAGAGAAAGGTGAGGTACCGGTATTTTAGTTCTAATGTCCTGGTTCAGTCCAATAAAGGGGTTTCTGTGGATGGACATCTGGTATCAAATTAATTTGTTTTTTCGAGATCCCAGAGGTGTCCGTGGTGTTGGATGGTAGCCCTTGTCTCTTAGAAAACTGACGGGGAGGTATCGTTGACAACCCCCATGTGCTGATTTAAACCTCTTAGTTTCAACAAGAAGCAGCATCAATCCCACCATTTACACTGTCATCACTCATATCGATGCCTTCCCCACCATGCCCCTTTCTCCTGTCCCAATGGATGCTCATCTTCTCGTTTCGCCCCCCCCCCCCCGTCCCTTTCCAGCCCACTGATAAGTCCCTTATAATCCCGCCCTCAGCTTGCCATCAGAAGCCAGCGGAAGTGGTGTTTGTGTTGGACATGTCCAGCAGTATCTTCATGTTGGACTTCAAGAAACAACTGGCCTTTGTATCAAACCTTGTTAAGTTGTTTGACATTGGCAGAAACAAGACCAGAGTCGCTGTCGTCTCCTTCAGGTAGTCCAGAGACACCGTCACGTTTCTTTCTTTCATCCCACTGCACAGAGGGCCAGCTTTGTAGATTACTATCAGAGTGACATACCACTCGAAGTTAGACAATTGGAAACATGAAAGCTTTAACCCCCCCCCCATGTAAATTAATATTGAAAGGATGAAAGGAAAGGGTAACGGAATAAATAGTAGAATAAGTGACTGTATGCGAATATATAGATACACAAAAGAATATGTCAATAAAGACAGAATTAAACGAATGAACCAGCCGATGAATCAACCAGTCAATAGGAATAAATCAATAAACAAGTGAATGAACACCTGGTTTCTACCTATCCTATTGTGACACTCTCGGGCCTTGAGAGATGTTCCTCTCTAGATTACCAACCCAAACAATCGGAGGACACAGGGAACATATTTTGTTTTCCTTTCTGCATTCCTTGCCGTGTTTCTGATCATAATAATTTCTCATGTCTTCTGTGTAAACAGGTAAACATACGAGTAGATAAAAACAATGGCATTAATAAAATGAAAACGTTTGCATTCTGTCATTTTTATAATACAAAAACTAACATTCGAATTTTTGTTAAATTCATTTTAAAACGTTGTCTATTCTATACATACACGTGAAAGAACAATACTGCACTCATCTAAGTTTTAACAAGAGTACAACTGTGGAATTTAGAAAATAAATTATTCGTTTCCCACTCCATTTTGTTTGTTTTAGTAAAAGTTTTATGGGGCTCGCAACCGCTCTACAGCAAGCTCTTTGTGCTTTGGAAACTACAATATTACCCGAGCAGACCCAAGAACATTCAGAAAAATTTTCCGCTTCCGGAGAAGCAGACAGTACAAGCTGCTGATAATGCATTCAAACACTAATAAACTGACAAGATCTTTTGCTGCCTTTAGCCAACTGCTAACCTGTTTGAAATAAGGAAAATTCGTGTAAAGTGCCTTTTTCAAGGACATTATGAGCCTTATATTATATTCTACACATAACAAAGAGTCGACTGACGATTTAGTTAGGACATCTTCTCTTGTTGAAATCTGCAAACCCCCTCCTCCGACGCTTCTCTATCCCTCACACAACAGCACCAACGCCACCGTGGAGTTCCATCTTGACGAGTTTTATGAACAGAAGGGCGTGAGAGATCACGTGGAGACGATTCTCTACACTGGAGGTGGCACCAACACAGACGATGCCCTCAAACTGGTCAAGAACTCCGTGCTCACCCCAAAACATGGTGTCAGGTATATCTTTGTCGTTTTAATAAGAGTAAGCGATTAGTGATGTTTCGAGGGAGTAGCAAACGAAAAAAAAAGGGGGGGGGGGGGGGGACACAAAGGCGGTTGGTGTTTTATAATAATATGAAAAAAGGAGCAAACCACACCGATTATCCGCCAACCATCCACCTCTGTCTTTTTAAATCATTTTTCTTTTATGGCAAGATTTTAAAAGATGAGCAGAAAATGTTTCTGTTTATGCCCCTATCTGTATATTGATGTCTTCGAGAGCGCGTGTACGCGTGTGTGGGAAAAGACTGATAAAGAATACTATGCAAAAGGACAACGCTCTGACACTTTATACTGAACTCCATTGAAAACGCAACACTTTGTTTGCAAAGTCTGCACACGTTTTTGTGGAATGACAATAGATTTAAAGTGGTCTTTATAGAAGTTTATTCATTTTCCAACGCATGTGGAAGATTTACAGACCATACTTTAACTTATCCATTAATTTATCTTCAATCCTTTAGAGCACCCCGTTTTGACAACTGTGCAGTTCAGCACAAAACAAAGTGTACTAAAATTTTCTCACCCAATAGCAACCCAATTAGAACATATATAGACCAAGATACGTCTTCATTTGTATCTTAAGACAATCACAATGGGTTTTTTTATGGAACTCTGACCCTCTTTGCGTCAGCACGACCTTCATTTTCCGCAGATTCGCCAAAAAGCCCCTTGCATGCACTTTGCTGTTCACGTCATTCTGGGTGTACTAGTTTGGAGACATGTCCGATAAGAAAGCCGGTCAGTTAATGACATTCACTTTATGACCTTCCAGAAACTGTTTCTTTTTAATTTTTTTTACACGTCAGGCGTTATCATGACGGAAGACCGAGAGGTACTAGGTCGGCTGAAAAATTTCTCCAAGTATAGACGGCGCTGTCGTGGCGGATCCATTGATTTTTGGATAAGTCGAGAAACAGTAAAGGCACTGTAATTGCTGCGTCTCTGACAGAAGGGTGAACTAGGCCGGGACAAAAAAATTACAGTCAGCTGTGCCAACTGTAGGCATCTTGCAATGAAAATAATTAAAATACTTCTATTTGGAAAGGTACTCTTAGAAATAACAAAAATCATACAGGAGTGTGTGAGGTAACCAGTTCTCAGTTGTGTCACTAAATATCACGGCGATCAGAGCTTATTTGGATATTGATAGTCTTTCAAAACTCAAACATGTTGCATTTTAATGGTGTTGAGTATATTATGGTTATCTGTCATTGTAGAAGTTTAACACCACTTTCAATGCTGTAAGGTTATCCAAAAAGTGCGATCAACGAATCTAACGTCCATATCCGATATGGACCAGACCGCTTTAAAAACTCTCTACACCAACCCGAGTTCAGAACGCCCTATTTGGGATTCGAACCAAGGCATCCGCTCCGTTGTCCAGCATGATACCATCTTAACTTGCAATGCGGCCCCAGTGACAGATTTTGACGATAAACATAATATTTTTTGAAAGACAAAACAAAACAAAAGGTATTATATATGTATTCATGTTGTTGTCCTCGGTCTGTTTACCGGTTATCTTTTCTTTCTCCCGCACAACTCGCTCCCTCCCAGGTCAAATGTGCCCCATGTTGTCATCGTCATCACCGACGGCCGTTCGCACAACTCCTCGGACACTCGCGCTCAGGCTGAAGCGCTCAAAAACTCGGGGATCTTTATGTTTGCTATAGGTCAGTATTTGCTTTTGCAGTTGCAGATTGTTAGATCTGCTCTAGGTCTCTGTCTGCTTATAGAAGTTATACTTTGATGAAATTTTCTCTCGATTCTGTTAGATCTGCCGAATCGCAACAACTTTTCTTGTTTGAATACGTACTTCAACTTCTTCATCCTCTGTTGCCTTATATGCCGTTTTCTATGGTAGGCTAGTTCTGCAGCTCTTTCAATAGGGATTTAATAACTTCCTAGAGTTCCCCTTGAATATCTAAATCCATCTTTTGCGTGGCTTACCTCTTCCTTAATAAGACATAGCTCGAGTACTTCGTGTTGTAGGCTCTCGAGTCTGGCTGGCTGGCTTGGTGAAAATCGTAACAGGTGGCCAACCCACCGCCGTCGTGTCATTACCTGATCCAGTCTCACCAATCAAACATTAAACGGCTTCAGATTGTTTCAATGTTAGGTGGGCAGGTAGGTATTTTATTCAGTTTTTAAGGCTATTGGCCCACATCACATATAAATATACACATTTCATATATGAGACTTCCGTGAAACTAGTATAAATTGTATGTAACATAAATATTATACATTTTCATGTATTTATACCATAGCAAAATCTTTTGTGTTTTGAAACAAAGTTTCCATAATAAAATAGTATAGGTATATCTCTTGCCATGGGTTGAACATAGGACATTTTTATCTCCGAGTTTTATTTAGCCAAAAAAGGGGGAGGGTGCATTAACAATTTCATTTGAAAGGTGACTTCCGGTAGATCTGGCATTGCAAATGCAGCCTATTTACATCCGCTCTCAAAGAATTTGATAGTTTTTCATGAATAATGCCTTTAGAAACCGTTTTACCGCAAACAGGATGTGAGGCTTTCTTATATTGTTTCATTGGATGAATGTGGAAGATGAGAAAAGAACGTGCTCAGACTAATACGCTTTGAGCCCATTGAAGAATGTTATGTATAGTTGTGATGTTTTGTGTGTTGTATGTTCTCTCTCCATCTCTCTCTCTCTCTCTCTCTCTCTCTCTCTCTCTCTCTCTTTGTGTGTGTGTGTGTGTGTATGTGTGTGTGTGTGTGTGTGCGTGTGTGTGTGTGTGCGAGTGTGTGTTTGTGTGTGCTACCCTTCTACTTGTGAGTTGTGACACCCAGTCAAGAAAAGACAGGGTAAGGCTAGATAACACATCCCACCCCCTACAATTTCTCTTGGACCAACGAATTCAGAATTTATGAACGTTTTGACCTCCCTGATAACATAAAAGGTCAATTTCATGGACTCATTTCACGACCTGGAGAACAAAGTGAGATAACTCTCTAACGCAAACACTACCATGCAAGATACACTAATTTCCCTTGACTCGATGTTAAGACAATTTCGTGACAAGTCCAGGCGTTTATTTTTACCAGCTAGACCGATCTTACAGATGAAGTCATTTGGGAAAGAGCTAACAAATACCTCTATCTGGTAGCATTAATCAGAAGTAAAGGTGTCCACGGCTTCCAACTATTTGTGGAAAAATGAAAGTTTCTTTAACTATTGTGGCGAAATAAAGCTCATCCTGACCCCTGCGACGTAATATACCCCCCCCCCCCCCCCCC